GGGGTCTCACCAGAGCAGAGCAGAGGGGCAGAATCCCCTCCCTCACCCTGCTGGCCACGCTGCTCTGGATACAGCCCAGGATACGGTTGGCTTTCTGGGCTGCCAGCGCACACGGCCGGCTCATGTTCAGCTTTTCGCCCATCATTGGGTGCCCCGACCCATGTGCAGCACCTTGCCCGTGGTTGTAGGTGTAGCTTAGCTCAGACTGAGGCCATGCTGGCCACTGTAACGGTCTGGCGCTCTGCATTCACAGGCTGCCCTTAGGAACGTCAGCGGAGTGCCTCAGAATAAAATAAATACGAGAACATGCAGATATAAGGTACAAGGTGTGACTGAACCTGTCAGTGTCCCTTTACATACAGCCAGCCCCTACCTCCGCCCTTCCCCACTGCACCTGCACAGCCCAGGAAGGCTTAGAAGGGACTTAGAGGCTCCAGGAGCGTAATTATCCTGTGGCACATAAAAGGGGGGGAACATGAAGCGCTACAGGCACCGGGTGGGACTGAAACCTCCGTAGTCAACAGCGTTAAAGGCAGCTGTACCCGACCCACACATGGTCATTCGATTCACGTAACTACAGACCGAGCACTCTCAAGTTTAATGTAGCGATGCCACCGTCCGGTTTCCTCACCCAGGTCCTGCTGAGTGATACACACTTGTCCAGCGAAACACGCGGTGTGCCGAGGCCCATCCTGCTGAGTTCCTACAGAGAGCCCAGTGCTTCTCCAAAGCGGATTTTCTGTCCAGCTTTGAGGTGGAATTTGAAGTCCTTGGGCGCCTCAAAGATGAGCACGATGGTAGAGCCCAGGTTAAATTCCCCTAGGTGTTCTCCTTTCCTCATGGAGATCCCCTCCTTGTTGTTGTTGGAGATGAAACTGAAGTCGTTGTAGGAACCTTTGGAGTAACAGGGACTGTTGGTATGCAAGTCCTGTGCGGAGGAGGAAGACACTGTTAGTGGGGGATCTCGGTACTCTGGTCATTAGCACAGCGATCGACTAGACATCCAGGCGTTTTCAATGCCCTTACAGTTCCAACGTGTAATGGGAATATTAATGAAATACTGGAGATGCCTCCCTTTAATCCGTCTTGGAACGTCAGTAGTGTGAAACACCTCAATTTCAGGGTCCTAAGACTTACATTTTTTCTCCCACTCTTCTCTTAGCACACCGTACCAACCTCAGCCATCGAAAGCAGCTGCCTGCTCCGACCTTGCTCACCTGGTCAAAGTAGATGCGGATAGAGCCCACGTTGGTTGCTCCCACAGCTGTTAAAGAGAAAAACCCGTGTTCCCAGCCACCTGTAAGGACAACCCTCTCATTGTGGCAGAACAGTTCCTTGATCCAGCGAGCAACTCCGGGATTGACGGACATCAGAGAGCCTGCAACAACAGTGAGAACACGTTCAAGCCGTCTGTTCCGCAGCAGTGCCGTAACACCACCTAAATAGTTAACTGCCACCTGACAGCCCTGGGGAGGGCCAGGGTCAGGACAAAGACACAGGCAGTCCCTGTCCCAGCCCTGCCAGGCGGCTTCTGTCAGTTCGCAGAGGCAGGTAAGATCCATCTAGCCAAAGCCTACAGGCTACAAAAAGGAAGTGAAAGGAACTGCTACAGCTTCGAGCAGGTTTCACTGGTAACTGTCCAGTGCACGAGAGCAGCCCCTTCCAGTCCTCCCTGGTAAATGTGTGGAAGCAGTTACTGAGGCTGCGGCTGAAAACCGAGCAGCTCTCTAGCCGAGGCTGACCAGGAAATACTGATGCCGTGACTCGGTTAAAAAGTAAGGCTTATTACAGAAGAAACTCCCAAGATTTCAATCCCTACACAGTCCCTAAAGTAACTTAGTAAGGTACAGTCACATGTTTTTAGCAACCAAATGCATCTGCTTTGCCACACTGAATCTGACAGGAGCATCTCACCAAGACTCCTTTGCTTCAGTCAGGAACTGGCCAGATTTCCCAAACCTTGTGGCAGGTCATGCCTCTCCCTCGTGGTGTCTGAAACCAAATCCAAGTACTTAGGCTTTTGCTAGACACCAAGGAGTAAAGTGTTTCTGTTAGCTGCTGAACTACAGTATGATGGTCTGCAGAGCGGGCAAAACCATCCGATCCCAGCTCCAGCAGCAAGACTGTTCACTTGCATCTTCTTCGCCAAGCACAGGAAAAGCGGTCACAGTTTAGGCTACTGTTTGCTCTGATCTGCAGAACTGTCTGTATTTCAGGTACAAACTGAACAGCCGTGCTTGGGAACGGGCCGGGTCAGCATGTGTCAACAGTTGTTTCAAAGAATTAAACCAGCTTGAAGACAGTATTCCCGTTTTCACTGTTTATGTGTGATTTGTTCTGGTAAGCTACACCACCATAACATTCACCACCCCTTGTGACAAGGCACTTTTCCCCCATTATGCATCACGCTCCACTGGCACGCCTCGTTCAGCCGTGGCCCATAACCGTGCTTCCCTCCACTCGCTTCCTAGGGACACAACCTACCTGGGAAGTGACGTCGGTGTGACACTCTCCAGTCAGTGGGTGAGTGAAAGCAGTGATAATCCCCTGGTGCAAGGTAGATCACGCAGTGGTAGAGCTCATTCCCCTCCTTTGTGACCAGTTGTTGCTGGAAAGAGTTTTCCGGTGGGGCTGCAAAGAAAGCAGGGAAGGAAAGGGGTCACAGACACTCTTCACGCAGCCCAGAGCCGAGCGGTCGACGCTGGGGTCAGCAGCAAGGACAGAGGACTAAACGCAGTCTGCGTGTTATTGCTGGCACTACAGGTATTTGGTCTCATGTTGACAATACGCCTGTTGTTGTTGGAACTCGCTGTCCCTGGTCCCCTCACCAGTTCAGCAAAAGGTGTTGCTTTCATCTAAACCCAAGGCCTTGGTGTCAGTGCTGGAGATGCCGCAGAGCGGTACCAGCCCGTTAGCGCGTGAGCGTACGTCTTGGGGTGCAGCCCACGCAGTCGTTGCTAACCGGGTGCTTGGGCACGTTTCAGCCTGCCTGCAGGCGTGCTGCAGCCTCGTTACAGTGACAGATCTTGGAGACAATTGCAACTGTCAGTATAACGGTATAAAAAGGAGCCACCTAGTTACATTCAGTTAATCAGAATGAGCCAGGCAAGGAGCATAAAGCTGCTGGTGAGAAAGAACCAGAACAGTGACGTGTTTTTCCCTGAATGCAACATAACAGAAGTCAGACCTGCTTTTGTGCCTGACAGTGTGAGAAAGGGAAAAACCAACAAAGTAACCTCTCTTCTCTTGGTCTCCAAGAACACTGAAAAGGGCAGAGCAGAACAAAGCAGAACTGGGGCAGAGCTCACCCTGGCTAAAATGCAGTTCCTCCGTGCAGATGCGAGGTCCCAAGAAAGATTCCAGTGAATAAGTAACCCCTTTTACTTGCTCCACTTCACAGTTTTTTATCTGTCCAAAATTAAGGATCTTCCCATCAGAGGGACTGATCTACAGCAGAGAGAAAAACATGAAACCCATTAGGAATTCATTCATTCCTTCCTCATAAAGCTCCACCTTCCTCTGGGGAAGCCGGCGGGGCAGCGGAAAGCCCTCATTTCCTTTCACTCACCACGCTGTGCACGCAGCAGACTGGTCGTGCTTGTGGTTTCAGCTTCCTGCGGAAGAATTCGCTGAGGTTTCTATAGTGATGCAGATCTTCCACAGCTGCCTCCTTCATGTTCACGCCAAACGTCCAGATGTACAGGCTGTACACGGGCTTCCGGAGCCATGTCGGCAGCTCCACCTGGTTCAGGCGACCCCAGGCTCGTGAGAGCAGGCGAGTTGGTACCGATTTGTACAGAGCAACCTAAGGAAAGAATCGCACCACATCACTCACTCCTTCCCACCGATGGCTCACTCTGCCTTCTCGCCATAAAACAACGAGCAGCAAACTCTTCCTGCCAACCGCTCCCTTGGATTCAGCGGCTTACACCACACACAAAGCAGCCTTTAAGTCGAAGAAGTAACACTGCACATCACCCTCATCCCCTCCATTCCGATGGCAGCAGAGGGGGGACAGGATGGAACTCCCTACAGCCTTACACTGAAGCCAGAGCCTGACTGCCCAGCAGGCTGCAGCGCCACGTTCACGCTCCTGGAGACTGCCCAGCGTGAGGCTTACTGAGAAATTGCACGTATTCTAGTAGAACACTCAGCAGAAGGGTTCAACATGACCCATATATTCATTTCTGTGGATAACCAAATGAAAATGGGCTGAAAAGTAAATTCTCAGTGGTTTATGATGTGCTTCTGAGATGCAGCTGCTAAGGAGGGTGTTTTCCACAGGCCAGTACTGTGACTGCTCTGATAGTACCTGTACAACTGAAGAACGTGATACCCCTGTGGATGCAGCCACGCCAGTATAAACTCACACCAGCTTTACTCCTTCCCCAGCAGCAACCGGAGTGGCCAATTGCAAGAGTGTGAAGTGCCTTCGTTCCTGCAGAAACACACCTCTGGGCTTAGACCAAAGCGTAACCTTCAGTAACAAGAAAAGCCAAGGACGCAGTGTGGGTCAGGGGTCTGTGCTGTTGATGTAACCGCACAGACGAGCGTCTCCTCCTGATACCGCCAGCAGGTAACCCTTCTGCCCTCTGTGGCACTTTGTGTCAGCCAAAATGCTCACGTGACCACGGGGCTGTGTGGACCCTGTGTGGAACTGAACCCTCTGAAACCAGTTTTGCAAAAACCAGAAGTGCCGTGCCGAATCCGGTACCATTCATTTGAACATACGGCTCGGCTACACCCGACTGCAAGCTGTGGGAGGTTTTTTTCTTAGTGAGTCATCTTTTATTCTCAGTATTAATCATATCCTTCGTAATTAAGTCTTGCAAAATACAGCCATAAACGCCAACAGAAGCACCCACTGGCTGAGGGCATGTCCCTCCTACCACACAGAGCGAATCAGGATTTCACTCATGACTCACCCAGCGGCATCACATTAAAATACCGTGATGTTTCAGAAAAACCCAACCTAATCTGCCTTCAGATAAATCTTCCAACCAACAGCACCTTCAGTTACATAAGCTGAAGTACTGAAGGAAAAACGTACTGCTGTTTTCACATGCCTTACAGGTCCAGCCTCGGTTTCTAAACCCCATTTTGCTCAGTTTCCCACAAACACTGAGAATATGCAGTAAAATCACAAAAATCCCTTCACAAGCACCAGGTTTTTAAGTTGATGGGATCAAACAGAACAGCTGTTCAACAAAACAGGCTTTAAGAACTACAGTTCTGTTGCAGTTTTCCATCAAAACATCCGTGTGGTTGTCGCATTCTGAAAGCGCGTCTGTGCGGCGAACGTCCGCGCGCACGGCTTCCGACACCCTGCTCCTGGCAGCGTCAGGGCAGAGACGCGCGTACCGGATGGATGACAAAAGCCCAAAGAATGTGAGGAAGAGACGCTCTCTGCGCAGGAGCGTCACAGAGCAAGAGAGCACGTCGGGGTGGCCGGGAAAGGGAACTGGAGAGGCGGTTTGGTCTGCCTTATCCTAGCCCCGACACGCTGAGGTGACGGAGTTAATTCCAAAGTTGCTGTTGATTTTCCTGGGTAGGCCCTTGACTGTCAGAGGCCAGAGAAATACTCTGCTACTGAAAACAATCACCTGTCTGTGAAGCAATCAACACAACAACGAACAGTGAAAACTGAAGGGAAACACAAATTGCATCCCTGCTTTAACACGTGAGATCATCAGCCTGTTCTATACTGAGCATCTCCCCCCGGCTGCTGCCAGCTCCCTCCGGTATAAAACAGCTAACGTGCACGAAGCGCGAGAGACCTGCTCACACTTACCCTGCTCATAGGCCTCCATCCCACTCTGGTCAAGGGTTTAAGAGCACCGAAAGGCAGAAGGTAATAGAGAATAGTCAGAGGCCAAGAACGGAGTTTCAGAGCAGGCCTAGACATACAGCTTAGCTGGCCCAACCTCCGCCTCAGGGCCAGCTGGGGAAAGTGCAACCTGAAAGATTACATACATAACATAAGACGGTCAGGCATCTCCGCTTCAGAACCACCAGCTTCTGAGAGCTGGGCATCATTCATTCCCGCTCATCTTTACTTGAACAGTCATTCTGCAAGTCTCTACTTCCCCGTTTTGATCAGTTCTTCCCCTTCCCAAGATAGAACACAAGCTTATCTCAAAAAAAAAAAAAAAAAAGAGAAAGAAAAATCCTCTGGCCAAAAAGTGATGGTCACTCTCACAGGTCACATTTTATGAATGACACCCTCAAAAATTAAAGGCAAGATCACTTCCAGGTGACCTCTGAAAACTAAGTCACACCTGGTTCATGCAACCAACAACATAACGTGACAGTTTACAGTGGAAATAACGAAGAGCAAAGGTTCTTCTTCCAAACGTAAGATTACACGCCCAGAAAACGTTTCTTATGACTGCTCCAGCTGCTGGACAGCAAACAGTACTCAGAGCCAGCCATCTGTGATGCTGGGATTTAGTAAGAACTCTGTGGAGGGGCAATTTGAAGGAAAGAACAGCTACTCTGATGAAAGAAATCCTTGAAACCCTACAAACTGAGGTCCCTCACTCAGGGGGTTCACCTGTTGAAGGCATCTTGACGAGACTGTGCCTCAAGCTGCGTTTTGTATCACAGAGGGTCAATTTACAGACCTGTCGGTCATTCACTAAGCTCAGGAAACAAGCACTTGCTTGAGAAACAACAGGAGCTTGACGAGACTGTGCCTCAAGCTGCATTTTGTATCACAGAGGGTCAAATTTACAGACCTGTCAGTCAGCTCAGGAAACAACAGGAACAGCACTCCTGGGCTGATTAATACCATTAACAACATTCCAAAAGACAACATTCCAGGTCTTAAAAACCTTCACTGGGTACCCTGGTTCTGAACAGGAAACAGATGGACAAAGCTGATGCTGCCAGTGCTGCAAGACAAGCTCATCTCCATAGCCCCGTAACCAACTCCTTTGCCTCATATAACCTACTGCACTGCACCTATGAGTCCTTGCTGTACGATGTCCTGACTGAGAGGAGGCTCATTCTGCCATGGCCATGGGGAGAAGCTGAACCTTTGACTCTCACAGGGAAGAGCCGCTCATCTCATCAGCAGAGGAGACCACAGGCCTCAGTCCTGACCCTTGCAGGAGGCCTGGGCGATTCAGATCCCCACTTATTCTTTGGCTGCTACTCACTGGCATTTCCAAGGTCACATCACCCCATGGAATTCTCCCTGCCTGAGGGCAAAATATTCAAATGGTCTGGGCACTGGCTTAAATCCTGGTGCGAAGAGATTGCTCTCCACACACTGCTGGAGGCAGCTGCCTGCAACCAGGACACAGCTGTGCGCACACGCAAACTGGAGTGCTATGCTCTGGCTGCTCCGAACAGCTCGCTCTCACTGCACTGTGTGAGGTGAAGGATGAAGTATAAAACACCGGGCATGTCTTTCCAAGGTGGAAGGAAGCTGGGAAACTGGAAGGAAATTTTCTTGCCAACACATTCTTTTCAAAACCTGGATCAGAATCCAAATACCAGGCAGGCAGGTACAACTGTCACCACTTGGGATGCAAGATGGTGCTTTTGGCTCAGAGATTTTTTCTGCAATGGACACAACTTCTTTCCCCTCAAGAATGAATAAATAAAACCCACAAAATTATCTGTGCATCCTAGTGCAAGGGGAAAAAATCCCAAACCCCTCTGAGGAGATGAAGTGCTGTCTCAGCAAAGGTAAAGCCGGCTTTCTTCTCAGCAGGAGGTGGGACTGATATGCAGCCATGGAAGGGACATTCCCATCCTTCCCACCACCACCAGCCTACCGTCTGCTCCAGGGCTGGCAGGACAGGGAGCTGGGTTGCCAGCGTCGAGCGCAGAGGTCCCGCTCCCCCTTCCCGCTGCTCTCCCCCCCTTCACTGCAGTCGCTCGTGGACCAATCCCCGCAGAGCTGCATCCTGGCAGCTCGCTCCGGAGCCCTCGGGCTTCCTGCTGCCTTGGCCTGGTTTCAGAGCAGTCCCTCACTGATTTTACTGTTCTCCTAGTGATGGAGAGTAGAAAGGAAAGGAACGAAAGCCTCCTCATTCCCCTTGCCCTGTAACAGCATGCCCTTCTCTGCCAATTCAGCGCATAAGGAGCTTTATAGTAATTAGGCCAAACAAAAGCTTTGCAGATGGCTGTTGTTCCTTCTGCCCAGACACCCTCCCGTCCTCCCTCCCTCCTCCCTTCAGTCACCATTCCTGCAAAGCAGAAAATACCGGAACAGTACCTGAAACGAGTTCTCCTATTTGTTGTCCCACTGGCAGAGCCAGCCGGGCCTGGACTCTCCAGTTTGGCTCCCGGCACAGCCGCTGCTGCCGCCGTTCCCTGAACGCGGCCTCCGGACATGAATTTTAACTTTGTGGAGGTTGTAGCAAGAAGGTGGAGGGTTAGATAAAGCTTTATAGCATCTCACCATTTCCCTGTGTGTAGATCTGGTCCCTGCAGGGTGTTTGACTGACACATCATCAGGGTGACGGGTTGGTTGCAAGGCTCAGTCTTTTTTCCTCTACCTCTCTTTCCTTTGCTTGCTCCGGCACAGGAGAGAGGACACGGCGTCACAGTTCCTAATTCCCCCGCTGGTTTGTCTCTGGATTCCCCCTCTGTTTCCCACTTGAATCTCTGCTACGAGGGTTGCAGCTATTGCAAACAAACAGGCATCGTGTCATATTTCAACATCCCGCTACAAAGCCGACTCCGCACAAGACGCCAACGAGCTGTCCGTACAAGCAGTCCGGGCTTCTGGCTAGTCCGGGTGGCCATTGAGGCGCGCGACTCCCCAGCGAGCCCCCGCAGTCCCCGGGGCAGCGATGCTCTAGTCAGCTGAGCTGCCAGCCGGCCCTGCACAGCCACCCCGCTCAAGCCGAGGCTGGGAGGAGGAGTGGGGCGGAGAAGAGGAGGAGATAATTCCCAGATTCAATTCTGCAGTGCAGCAGCTGCCGCCAACACGGTCCTCGACTGCCAGGCGCCAAAAATCCTTCCCTGCTCTCAATGTCCAGCTCAGGAAGAAGGAAAGGAACGTCTTTCTATTTTACAACCCTTGCCAGGCATCAACATCCATCTCCTGAAGCCTCTTTGCACCTCCAATGCCTCACACGGGGAGCAGGTAAAGGATATTCTTTTGCAAATACCCAGACACAGAAGGAAATAAAGCCAGCGCTGCGGCCAGCTCGAGTATCAGGTGTAAAAGTGTTAACCTGCTGTTTGACACTCCCTACTGCCACAGTTTTCATGTCCAGGACAACTAAAATACAAAACGTTAAGTAAAGGAAGCTGCTTTGGTTTTGCTTTGCCTTTTAGAGACAAACAGCAGCAGGATTTCAGTTAATGCAAAGAAGGTAAATTTAAGATTAGTGAAAGCACTCAAAGCATACTCCTTCCTCCTTGAGCCCTGCGCCTACTTCTTTTGTTTTCCTACTTAAAATATCGTTCAGTCTTTCTCTGGCTGGCACGAGAACCTCCTACACAACAAAAATGAAGCCATCTGTATGGCAAAACGATGAAAGCAGTTACCCAAAACCCCATCAAAATTCAAAAGAACAGCAGCGAGGAGCACAGGGGAACTGTTTCTCTCGATTTGCCAGGAACATTAGAAATTACTACCATTAAATACTGAAATTGAAATAGAAACAAGCTAAGTTGTCAGCACCATTTCAAAAGGCACTTTGACAGACCAAGACAAAAATTACCTCGCTCTCCGCAGTTCTGTGAAGACGCGAGTTCCTTCGTCTGGCCCAGGTGAAGCCAGCAGGAGCAGCCTGCCCAGGGCCTGTAGGCCAGGCAGCACTCTGCCCCCCACCTACTCCTCCCCTCTGAAGAAGGCCTTCATCTATGCGTGCCTTTGCAGAGCAAACAGAACCCTTATCTGCATTTTCTTCGGTGCTCCTCCCTTAAGGAAAAGGGAGGTAAGCACACAACCTCCTTCAGCAGAAATTTAATCTTATCCTCCAAAACATTTTCAAGAAATTGTTACATTCTAGACTGAACAAGCCTGAATCTATGAAAGCTCAAAACAAGTTAAACAGAATCACAGAATGGTTTGGGCTGGAAGGGACCTTAAAGATCACCCAGTTCCAACCCCCTGCCATGGGCAGGGACACCTTCCACTAGCCCAGGTTGCTTCAAGCCTCATCCAGCCTGGCCTTGGCCACTTCCAGGGATGGGGCATCCACAGCTTCTCTGGGCAACCTGTTCCAGTGCCTCCCCACCCTTTCCGGGAAGAACTTCTTCCTGATATCCAATCTAAATCTACCCTCCAAATAGCTCACCTGCCCCCTAAAAACAAATGGGCACTGAGATGTTCTACAGCCCAGTGCAGTGGGAGCTACCACCCTTTAGTTCAGAACAAAAAAATGTGGTGCAAGAGAGATTCCTTTCCAGGAAGGGGGGAATAATGGTGTTAAAACCTTTTTTTTTTCCCCTCCACTTCTTAAAAAAACTGAGCTCAGATGAGTAAGAAGACCTGTGATTCTCTTAAATTCTGTTCTACTGACCTCATTACATTCACCAAGATGCAAATACCTGAGTCCTGTTTAAATGCTGACATACAAGTTGCCATCCCTGCTGCAGCTGTGGGGAAGCCATGTACAGGTCCTACAGTGTACTGAAGGCTGACATGGAAAATCCACCCCGAGTCTACCTACTTTCCATGGGGAAAGGAACAAGAACCGGTGATCAACCAGCTCATGCCTGAGGAGCTCATATAATGGCATCTCAATAGCACGACTTCTTGTGATGTTGGCAGTGCCACAAAGCTTGTGTAATTAGTTTAGACAGTCTCATGATGGCTGGTTTGTACAGGAGGTTGGACACCGGTACCAAATTCTGGCTCCAGAGTCCATGTCAGGTAAATAAGCCATTACCAGCAGGTATAAATCCCTAGAGAATTATTATCTAATAGAGAACTGCTAATCTGCCAGCTGTGCAACACCGTTGTGCTCTGTCAGCTCAAATAAGTGTCAAACCCGGTGACCCCATTTAATTACTTGCCATTACTATCTCGAGCCCTTCCCTCAAGTTTTAAAAAAACAATAGAGCACGGCATTTGCAAAAAAGACTAATATGCAACTGAACTTCAAACCTGCAGTCTCGGTTTTAAATCATAACCGTGAATCATTCGGCTTGGAATGCGCCAGCACAGTGCTCAAAGCCCTCTGGTCACGCTTTCTACATTTGGTAACCCAACTAGTGTTTAAAAAATGCACTCTCTGCATGCAAACGCCGTATTCCTTTTCTGTGCCAGCAAAAATAAGGCCTTGGAGTCAGGGGAGAGGTACTCGGTGACCGTTCACTGAAGGTCCCATTCCTTTCCCAGCAGCATCTGTTTGATTTCAGCCACGTAATCCCTGCTCCCACCCAACCTCCTCCGGAGCCAGCCCGGCAAGAGAAACACGGGATGCTCCACACCCAGTCAGGAGCTCGGCAAGTCCCAGAGCACAACAAAGCCGCTCTCACTGCTGGGGAAACCCGAGTGCAGAGCTAGCGTCTGCCAAGCCATGTGACGGTGGAGCAGCACGGTCACTTCCAGCTCGGCCGGGGAAGAGCTGGCAACTCACCCTACGCTTTCCCTGGATTTCCTGGTGCTGCCTAGTGAAATCTCCCATGCTCTGCTTTAGCCACCCGTAATTTCTAAAACCCCTTACTTCTCCTATGAAGAAGTCTTTCTATGTTTTTATTAATTTATTAAAAAGTGTTTTGTTAATTAAATATTTTTCTTAATAAATTCTATTTATTAAGAAAACTTCTGATAGTTTTCTGTAATTTTACACTGCTGTTTAAGCTACATTCCAGAAATAGAAGGGAAGGGAAAAAAGTGGTATTTAAGCTAGCCATAAAAAGTTGGATGTTTTTTTAAACTTAAACCTGAATTGTGAGGTGAAAAGAAGCCTGTTCTACAGTCTCAAAGGTCTTTTCTATGAAACAAGGAAAAAAGTTTTAGTATTGCAAAGTGCCATGAAAACTGATGATGCCGAAACCAGCCTGTATTACGGTACAGTTTTGGAGCAGTATTTTCCATTTCAGGCTGTAACCCGCCCGTATCGTAGCCCAGGATGCCTGTAAGGCCGACTGCTCCGTAAGGGATGCCCCGACAGCACAAACGGCTCCGCAGCACCGGGCGGAAGCGGGGCACAGCTCCCCGCGCGGGTCTCCCGCGGAGGAAGTTGACCGCGGGACTCCGGCCCGCGATAACGCGGCGCCGAGGGGCTGGGAGATGGCTCAGGAGAGCGCCCAGACTTTGGAACGTCCCTCCTGCACCTTCCAGCGCGGCAGGGGCCAAGGTGCG